GGAGGAGGAAAAGAGAGAAAGAGGGAGGAGGTGGAGAGAGAAAGGGGAAGAGAAGAGAGAAAGGGGGAGAAGGAGAAGAAGAAATAAGGAGGGGAAGGCAGAGGAGAAGAGAGAAAAGGGAGAGGGAAGAGAAAGGGAGAGGAGAAGTGAGAAAGGAGGAGGAGGGGGAGAAGGAGGAAGGGGCTCCTACCTTCTTCCTTTCCAACCTCTCCTGCAGGTTCTGCTGCATAATTCGCTCCCGCTCCTGCCGTTGCTTCTCGGCCTCTTCCAAGGCCTTCACCTCGGCTTCTTCCCGCTAGCAGAGGAAAAACGCCCTGGTGAGCAACCCAGGACCCGGCCTGTCCTCTGCGAAAGGGACTGACTGTCACCGCACGGAGCCAGTCGCACCAGGGAAGCGCCCAAGCTAAGCAGCTTCCAATCCTTAACTTGGGTCCTGCGTTCGAGTCACACACCCAAGAGGGGAGCCCCGGATTTAACTCCGCTACCGCTTCTCGACGTCACACCACAGTTCCCTGGGTGGACAACTGCAGCCCAACCAACGCCGGGGCGGGGCAGGCTGGAAAAGTGCCCAAGGAGGCCCTGCTGAGACCCCGACCTGCAGCTGAAGCTCCGCCAGCTTCTCCTGCTCTTCCTGCTCCCTCTGGATCCGGTCCTTCTCGGCCAGCCGCTGCTGCTCCTCCTCCTCTGCTCTCTTCAGCTCTTCCGTCTCCAAAAGGGCCGCCTCCTCCTGCGCCTGCTTCTCCTGGGCTAAGCTGGCCAGCTCCTCGTTCCGGATCCTAACAGCCCAAAGCAAAGGGATGATGGATAAAAGCCTGTTTGTGCAGGCCGGCCGGCCGGCCTCCTGCAACCTGGTTTGCAAACACCTGGCATCTCCAGCAGCAGCAAGACCTCCCAGTCCCAGGCCTGGGGTGGGGTGGGGTGGGGTGTCGGTGGAGCCCCTGTTATGTGTTGATGGTTAGGGTTGTTTTGAATCTGGGCTGCCACCTTTTGTTTCATGCTTTCCACTCTTTTAATTGTAGATTTGAAGGGGGTTCGCTGCCCAGGCTTTTTGGATGGGTTGCCATATGTTAAATAAACCAATCCACCAGGCAACCCACCTAACTAACCAACCAACCAATCTATTAACTAGTCAACGCAACAAACCAACAAACCAACCAGTCAACCCAACAAACCAGTCAACCAACTAACCAATTTACCAAATAGTCAACCCAACTAA